TCCCGCTTAATTTTCCTCCCCAGGAGTCACAAGCGGGAACTTCTCAGGAATTCCGGCCTGCAACGTGGTGAAATCACGAGCAGGAAATCCTTGTGCAATCGTCCCCGTGGCGATCCTTCGGTTGTTCTGACCCTGTTAATGACTACCTTTCAAGTATTTCAAAAGGGCTATCCTGCCTCCACTCAATCTTCTTTCCTCCAGGATAAACCTGGATTTGGAGACTAGATTTCTTGTGAATGCATCCTAAAATCACATCGGCCCTTTTTGCCGCTGCGTGGCAAAGTCGGCTCACATTCTGCTTGGGATCTACAACCATTGCAAGATCCTTCGCGCTCGTGTTCCTTCTCGTCTCCCCCATCATGTGAGTGTGCATTAAATGTGTTTCCCCCCTCCTAGCTATAGAACTTTGCACGTTTCCCTGTTAAAATCCACTTAAGCTGTTTTCCCCTCGTTGTGGCTTCTCGGCTTGCTTCGGTCTGGCTGCCCAGCCTGGTGCGTACAGGAAGTTATGCTTATCAGAGAAGCCAGCCATGGCGCTGGGGGTCAAAACTGGAGCATCGTCGGGGGCCCTTTTCCCTTCCTCTCCCGGCGTCCACCCTGTCCCTCTCTCTCTGTGTGTGTGTCTCTCATCTTCCCTCTTTCTTGTTCTAGCTCACCCCCCCCCCGGTTCCATGATGCTCAGGTTCCACGTCAACCACTTCCTTCCTCATCATGAGCTTTCTGGCGGTTCCGGCCTCAGTTCTAGCCCCGCAACACACACACACACACACATATACTATTAAACAAGCTCTTTCTTCCGTTTTCGGTCTAAGATGGAGAACCGAGGCGCCGGGAGGCAGGGATCCGGGCTGTGCGGTGGTTCTCCATAAAAAAAGGCAAGGGTGTTTCAACACAGCCTCCCCGGATCTCCCAGCCTGTTGAGCGCTCGGGAAAATGTGCTTGTAAGACATGCACTCTGAGCGTGCCCAGAGACACCCTTCTTTCCCACGACGCTTGTCCTTCCTGGCGCACAGCGCTTGGACCCAGCCGTGCACTTCAGCTGCAGGCAGTCAAAACCCCACAGACCCCTACTGTCTTTCGCTCCTTAAGGGTGGACGGTGGCCAAAGGGAGTGAGTGGCGATGTGCTGCCCACCCCCCCAAATTTGCTGCCTGAGGCCCCCTGCCCCACTCGAGGCGCTGGCTCTGTGGATCCCCGGTCTTTGCAGAGAAGCAGCCCTGAAAGTGGCGTTTAAAAAAAGGCCGTGGGTGTCGGGCCGAGGCTGCGGGCATGGTTATAAAGAAGGCTTCCCTTGTTTAAGGTGTTCTTTTTGGAAGAAGGGGGGGCAGGAAGGGAGCCAGAGCCGAAACAATGACCCAGCGGTGGCGGAGAAGGAGTTGCCTCCCCTCGGTCCCCTTTCCTTCCTCCGAGGCGCTTCCTGCGAGCCGGCGTGCTGGCTTCCTCCCTCGCCTCGGCCGCCAAGGGAAGGGGGCTCCCCGAGAGCCTCTGGTGGAGGGTGCCCCTCCATGGGGGGTGTCCCTCGGCAGGGGGGAGCCCCCTTCTCGACGGTCCGTCGTCCCCCGTCTCCCCAGAGAGCACAATGGCCTGATTCTCCCGCCGACACAATGAGGCGTTTAGGGACAGGGCGTTTCGGAGAAAAATGCTTGCGTCGCCTACGGGTCACGGGGCCGGGCGGCGGGCGGTGGATTTGGCCTCGGTCGGGATGCCCAGGGGGGCTCTCGGGCTTGGGTGCCAGCCTTGGAGTGATGCCAGGTTGCCAAGCCAGCCGGGGAGGTGCCCGGAACGGGGAGGAAGAATCTCCCTTTCGTGTTCCTCCACGGCCCTCGAGAGGGACGTGGGTGGCCCGTCCAGTCTTGCCTGGCGAAACCCCGGAATTCCCTCCCGCCGCTGAACGACGGCAGCAACCGCAGCGCCTCTGGCAGCGTGCAGAGAACCTTTGCTTCCGTCGGAGTCCTTACATCCGGCTCTCCGTCAGTAAAGAGAAGGAGCCGTGGTCTCTTTTTGTTGTTTTAGCTTTTTGTGGTTTCTGGTTTGGTTTGTTTCTTTTGCTGTGTTTTGTCTTGACGGAAGGCCTTTTCTGTTTGGGGAAGAGATGAGTGAGAGAGAGAGAGAGAGAGAGAGAGAAATGCACTGCCCGGTGGATTCTGACTTCTGCCAAACCCTAATAGGGTGCCCCAGGGCGACCAAGGAAGCAGAGTGGCAGACTTCGACTCGGAAGGCCTGAGTTCGAATCCCCGCTCAGCCATGGTCACTCACGGAGGGTGCAGAACGGCTCAATCCATTCCTTCAATATCTCACTTACCCCAAAACCCAATTACGTCACGTCTGGCTTGACGGCACATCAGGGTGACAATAATAGTATCAGCCATGGTCACTCACGGAGGGTGCAGACGGCTCAACCCATTCCTTCAATATCTCTGGAGGTCAAGGGTTGGGACCCAATTACGTCACGTCTGGCTTGACGGCACATCAGGGTGACAATAATAGTAGATGGTTGTTGTAGCTTTTTCGGGCTCTTTGGCCGTGTTCTGGAGGTTGTTCTTCCTAACGTTTCGCCCGTCTCTGTGACCGGCCCCTACGGAGGACAGGAGTCAGGACTCCCACAGACTGCCCCAGAGCACAGGCAGAGTCCTGACTCCTGTCCTCTGAAGAGGCCGGCCACAAAGACAAACAAAACATTAGGAAAAACAACCTTCAGAACACGGCCAAAGAGCCCAAAAAACCTACAACAGCCATCAGATCCCGGCCTTGAAAGCCTTCGCGAATATAATAATAGTAGAGTTCCCCAGATTGGGGAGATAGCCAAGGAGCGGTTTGACCGGTGCCACTGGCTGCAAGGTCTGGAGACCTGGAGGTCAAGGGTTGGATCCCTACTATGTGTTTTGGAGGAGAGCAGCCAACCTGGGTAGACTTGGTCGAACGCTACAGTCCCAGGGCAACTCAGAAGAAGGGAAGGGTCAACCACTTCTGAGTGCTTGCTCCCTAGAAAACCTTGGAAAGCGTTGTCGTACGTTGGAACAGACCTGATGGGAGGGCATGCCATGATGAGTGATTGGCCCACCTTGCCAATGAATTCCCATGGGATTTGAACCCAGGTCTCCTGAGTCCTGATCCAACACAACCCGCTACACACTCATCTTGGCTCTCCCGTCATCATCGGTCCTTGAGTTCTGGGCCAACAGGGGTCAGACCTTGTGTTCAACAGAGCAGAGATCCCTAGAAGAAGGAGATCCGCATCCATTAGAAAGAGAGGAAGATGTGTGAAGGGTTCGAGGGGAGGCTGCGTCTTCTGCCCTTGTCTGCCTGAAGCCTGCTGTACACATTAGCGGAGCAGCAAAACTTTTAAGCTTCCTTCCTGTCCTCCAACAGGATGTGATGGAAGCGCTGAGGCCATCCGGCGGTTCGTGGGTTGAGTACAGTCTGTTGCATCTAACGCTGACTTGCAGGTACGGGTGTGCGTCTCTTCGCGGGGGCACACCTGTCGGCTTCTTGGGGGCCTGTTTTGACAGAGAGCTGGGGTTCCCACAATTGACTTGGCAGGCGACCCCGAAAGAAAAGCTACTGGGATGGAAAATCCACCTATCTTTGCCAAAGAATGGGCTGAAACCAAGAAGAATCAAAAATCGGGTAGCATTGCAACCCTTATTTCATTTAGTCCCATTCTGTTGCAGTTGAAACTGAGACGGTCATAAAAATAATCCGTAATATAGCCAAATATATATAATCTACCTTGAGACCCTTATGCTGACAGTTCTTTCAAAACAATGCTTGGAAAATTGCAAATACAATGAGGATGTAAGGTGAAGCCGGTAAAGTTTGGTGAAACTTGAGAAGTTAAAGTTCACCAAGAAGTAAAACAGGATGTAAAATGACAATACAGTAGGACCCCTGTACTCGTTGGATCGATATCCACGGTTTCATTTATCCGAGGTCTGAGAATGTTAAAAAATATTAAAAGAAAAAACAAGAAACATGCGTTTTCATGGTTTATTTACCAGAACTGGCCACTAGACGTAGCCACAGACCACGATGTGTATTCTTGTTTTTGAAAAATACAGTGGTGCCTCGCTTAACGAGGGTAATCTATTCCAGCGGAATCGCTGTAGAGCGAAATCCTCGTTAAGCGAAATAAAAAATCCCATTGAAAATCCTCCATAGGGGCGGCCATTTTCGGTGCCTGTATAGCGAGGAATCCATCCAAAAACACAGCGGGGAGCCATTTTACACAGCGGGCGGCCAGTTGGAAGCCACCGATCAGCTGTTTTAAAAACGTCGTAATGAGAAGAATCGGTTCCCGAAGCAGGGAACCGCTCGTCACAAAGCGGATTTTGCCTATTAAAACATCGTTTTGCGATCGCAAAACAATAACCGTACAGCGGTTTCATCATTTAACGAAGCAATCGTTAAGCGAGGCACCACTGTACATACATAGCATGGTCTCTAGGCCCCCTCTAGTGGCCAGTTCATGTAATATATGCTGAAAATACATCTATTGATCGATCATGTTCGCTATTATCCATGCATTAGAGCATCCACGGGGGCTTGGAAACAAATTTCTGGCAAATTTCCCAAGGAAAAAAATGTTCCATTTATTTATTTGTATCTGATACGTTAAGCGAGGCACCACTGTACATATATAGCACGGTCTCTGGGCCCCCTCTAGTGGCCAGTTCATGTAATATATGCTGAAAATACATCTATTGATCGATCATGTTCGCTATTATCCATGCATTAGAGCATCCACGGGGGCTTGGAAACAAATTTCTGGCAAAAAAATGTTCCATTTATTTTTTTGTATCTGACACCCAGCTAACTCGCCTTTTTTCTCTGGGCAGCTCAAGGCAGCACTTTAGCCTAAAAAAAAACCAACCCTGTGAGGTAGGCCAGGCCAAATGATAGCGTCCAGTCTGAGGTTAGCAGCAGAATGGGGGACTTGACTCTTCGCCTCTCCTCTCCTTCTTTTAAAAGCTTTCAATGGCTTCTCTCACTTCCTCTCCACAGTCCTGCTCGCTGAGTGCGTGGATGATGGGGACGTGAGTGGCAAGACGCTGAAGATCACCGACTTTGGGCTGGCCCGGGAGTGGCACAAGACGACCAAAATGAGCGCGGCGGGCACCTACGCCTGGATGGCCCCCGAGGTCATCAAGACGTCCACCTTCTCCCGAGGCAGCGACGTCTGGAGGTGAGAAAGAAGCACACTTGGTGGGGAGGCACAGGAGAGGGCCTTCTCTGTGGCCGCTCATGGGATGTGGAACTCCCTGCCACTGGAGGGCAGGCTGGCCCCTTGCTCTTGGCTGTCCTTCTGCAAGCAGGCAAAGACCTTTCTCTTCAGGCAGGCTTTCCCTTAATAACGGGCTGCCTGGGTGGAGTTTTTTTAAAAAATGTTTTATTGTACTTTATTCCATTTATTTTTTTTAGTATTTATATACTCACGGCTGTTGGCTTTACGTACCGTCTTCTAAAGCTGTAAGCCACCCTGGGTCCTTTTTCAACGAGAAAGGTGGGGTTTTAAATATTTTAAAATAAACTAAATATATAAAAATATATAAGAGTAGACCTTTGGTCTAGATGGGCGGGATAGAAATCCAATAAATAAAATAAATAAAATGGATAGGAAGCCGTTTTTGATCCGTTTGACAGAAAGTACGTGGCTGCCCCATAATATTTCCACCTGCCCACCCCAGTCCTACAGTAAATGCATTTTTATAATCCTGGATGCCTCCTTGAACACTATCTCTTTGGCAGTGATGGAGATGCAGGATTTATTCCCGCACTTATCATTCCCCACCGCCATCTCAAACTTGAAAAATTCAAAACTGGGAAATGTATGTCTGTTCACTTCGAGTTCTGAATTTTTTTTTAAATTTCAATTTTAATATTGTTCCAAATTTGGGACTGGTTTTGAGGCCTGGTTTAGCCAGACAACAAGGAGCATTGGCATGAAAATTAGCCCCATGGGCACCGGAGTTTCTTCTCCTCATCCACAGTATAGAAAGGAAGATGGTTTTTATGCTCTAGTACAAACTTTTCTTCCTCATCTCTGCTTCTTCTTCTTCCAAAAAGCCCCCCATTTTATGACTTTTTTAAAAAAATCAAGATTAGGTTCTTCCTGGGGGTGGTTGAGTTGGTTCCATCCTTGTTTAGAAAAAAATGCTCAGGGAAAACTCTAGGAAGAGCAAAAAAAACACACCCCACACCCTCTGAAAATTCTGTATTTGTTCGGAGAGCGTGAATCTGCACGTTTCGCAATGCATCGTCGTCGTCAGAAGCACATCGCGGGAAGGCGAGAAGCGTGAATCTGCACGTTTCGCAATGCATCGGCATCATCAGAAGCACATCGCGAGAAGGCGAGAAGATTCTCCGGAAAAGACCATTATGGTGGAAGGCAGCAGGAGAAGAGGAGGATCCAATACAAGATGGACGGACTCTTTAAAGAAACCACAAGCTTGAGTCTATAAGAGCCGAGCCAGGGCTGTTGAGGACAGGAGATTTTAGAAATGTCTCATGGGTTGCAATAAGTCAGATAGAAGGGAATAACAACAAATGTATACCAAATTAATTTCTGCCTATGCTTCCTTGGAGGGAGCCCCGATGTCCTTTTGAGAGCGAGTGGGGTAAAGTGGGGAAATGCCAGTCCTCTTGGAATTCACTGGGTTTTCTTTGTCCCCCCCCCCCAACAGTTATGGGGTCCTTCTGTGGGAGCTTCTCACGGGCGAAGTCCCATACCGGGGTATCGACGGTCTCGCCGTTGCCTACGGGGTCGCCGTGAACAAGCTGACGCTTCCTATCCCGTCCACCTGCCCCGAACCTTTTGCACACCTCATGGCAGGTAAGCGAGGGCTGCGGAGAAGAAATCCGAAGCGCAGGCCTCCTTGCAATAGGACAGTGGTCCGATGAAATAAAATACTTTTCGTCCCGTCATTCCCTGGCCGCCGCGAAATCTAATGATAGGAGCCCAGCCTGACAGCTTTAGCCTAAAAAAGGATATTTATACAGTAGGACCCCTATATCTGTGGGATCAGTATCCATAGTTTCACTTATCCGTGGTCTGAAACTTAAAATATTAAACGGGGGGAAAAAACCCACCTCAGTATCCATAGTTTCACTTATCCGTGGTGTGAAACTTTTAAAATATTAAACGAGGAAAAAAAACACTAGAAATATGTATTTTCACGATGTATTTACCAGAACTGGCCATGAGAGGGAGCCGGAGACCACAGTATGTATTCTGTTGAAGCATACATAAGATGGTCTCTGGCTCCCCTAGTGGCCAGGTCTGGTAAATACATGTTGAAAATACTTTTTGAAGTATGCATAACATGGTCTCTGGCTCCCCTAATGGCCAGTTCTGGTAATGCGTGTTGAAAATACTTTTTTTCTGCATTTTTTCCTCTTTCACCATGTTACGTATTGTACAGCGTTCACTATTATCTGCGGTTTTCAGCATCTGCAGGGCGACTGAGAACCAATCCCCTGCAGATACAGGGTCCTGCCTTTGGTGCTGCGTCTTCTGCTGCACTCCTTTTTAGAAAACCTCTTTTAAACAGGCTCCTTTGATATTCCTGACTTCTCGTTCCTAATTTCCAAAGGCCGCCTGCAACGGGGGCTTTTTAACAAGTCACAACACCGTTACGCAGGACTGCGTGTGGCCTGAAACTCACACAACACGGCCCAGGTTCTTAGGTTCACCTTCTGTCCGGTGGCTGTTATTGTCACTACCGTGTTTCCCCGAAAATAAGACAGGGTCTTATATTAATTTTTTGCTCCAAAAATGGTGACACACATATATTTTGAAAAATTCAGCAGCTAGAACAGTCTCACCCCTCCTGGTACCTCCTAGACAGGGGCCCAAGTGCTGGCCGGGGATAATGGGATACCTGATTCATCTGATGGAGAACGCTTCTGGCTTGGGAGAAATAATTAGGAGAAAGAGATCCGTCACGTCGCCAGATCGAGAAGGAATGTTTCTCATGCACGTTGGCCACCTTTGTGTCTTATATCTCTTTCCCTCTCCTGGCCTTTTTTTTTTTTCCGCCCCGCCAGCCTGCTGGGAACAAGACCCCCATCGGCGCCCCAGCTTCGCCTCCATCCTGTCCCAGCTGACGGTGCTGGAAGCTCAGGTCCTCCGCGACCTGCCCCAGGCCTCCTTCCACTCCATGCAGGATGATTGGAAAGTCGAGATCCAAGACATGTTTGACGAGCTGCGGGCGAAGGAGAAGGTGAGGTGGTTTCGAACCTCTTTGCATGGCGACGATTTTTTTGTTCCCTAAACAGGAAGCTGGGTGGAGCTAGGCCTTAGTACTGTCAGGTTTAGGCCTTTTCTCCCAGGTGAGCCAAAGAGGATGTCCGTAAGGTGTGTGTACGCCGAGTCGCTCCTAGAATGGGGGATTCTGGGACTGGTAGTCTTAAGAAACCCAAGAATCTCGTCCCTCCCAGTTCCCAAAGTCCCTGTGTCTCGCTATTGGCTGAACTCTAGTGAGGTCACGGAACGTTTGCCAATCCTTGTGGCTTCCTGGGGTCTGTGTGTCAGAAAGGGGTAGCCACGGAATGTTAACAAACGCTGCACCTTCTGTAACAGGAAGGTGAAGAGGCAATGTAGCTGGGACTGAACTCGGGACGTGAGCAGAGGCTTTACTGCAGTACTGCAATTAAACCACTGCACCAGAGGGCTCGTTCCTATTACCGTTACTAGTCGTTGCTTTCTATAGGGTGTGACTGGCTGGCAGTTACTGTCATAGCTGGCTGGATAGCTCAGTGGTTTAGGCCTCTGGCTGTGGAGCCAGAGGTTGGGGGTTCGATTCCCTCCCCAGTGCTTCTCGTGAGGAGAGCCAGCCTGGGGGGCCTTGGGCCAGCGGCACAGGAGTCCCCAGGGCAACCCCAAAAGAAGAGAAGGGGAAAGCACTTTTGTCTCTTTCTTTGCCTCAAAAACTGTGGAAAGGGTGACCCTAAGTCAGAATAATGATCAGCCTGGGGGGCCTTGGGCCAGCGGCACAAGGGCCCCCAGGGCAACCCCGAAAGAAGAGAAGGGGAAACCAGTTTTGTGTCTTTCTTTCCCTCAAAAACCATGGGAAGGGTCACTCTGAGTCAGAATGGACTTATAATAATGATTATTAATACAGTGGCGCATAACGAGCGCACCGTTTAACGACGAATTTGCATAGCAATCAGTTTTTTGGGATCGCTAATGCGATCGCATACCAATGCTTTCTATGGCCGAAAATCGCTTTGCGACGATCGGTAAGCCTTTCGCTTACCGATTTTCGCATAGCGATTTTTTAAACAGCTGATCGGCTGTTCCAAAATGGCCGCCGGACGCCTAAAATGGCCACACGCAGCGTTTTTGCACCCTGCCCTCGCTTACCGAGGGTGCGAAAATGGCGGCCGGATGGGGAAACATCGCAGAACGGTGAGTTTTGGGCCCCATTGGAACACATTAAACGAAGTTTAATCAGAACGGTTAGTTTTGGGCCCCATTGGAACACATTAAACGAAGTTTAATGCGTTCCAATGGGTTTTTCCGTTCCGTATAGCGATGTTTCCCCATAGTGACGGTTAATCCAGAACGGATTAACCTCGCTATGTGGGGCACCACTGTATTATAATCTTCTAACGGCAGAGGTGGAAGGGACCCTCTGGATCATGTCAAGAAGGCCCAGGGAGGATTCGAACCCCGCAAAAAACACAAGAAAGAGAAGAACCGAAGCTGCACGGGCCAAAACGGAAAGGGAGGAATGAGGGTGGGATTGTGATACGACCGTGGGGAGGAAATTGAGTTTTTGCAGTGGTGTTGCCTCCCCGTCGGCGGGCACGATCCCTTCTTTTGAGGGGGGCCAGACTCTCTCCTTCCACGCCGAAGCCTTCATCATCCTTTCCCTCCCTCCTCTTCCTCAGGAACTGCTGAGCCGCGAGGAGGAGCTCAAGCAAGCAGCCCAGAAGCAGAAATCTCAGGAGGAGTTTCTGCGCCAGCGCGAGCACGAACTGGCCCAGTGGGAGCTGGAAGTCTTCGAGCGCGAGCTGAGCCTCCTCATCCAGCAGATGAACCGCGAGGGGCCTCACGTGAAAAAGCGGAAAGGGACCTTCAAGAGGAACAAGCTGAAAGGGAGGGACGGCGAGAGGATCAGCATGCCCCTCGGTATGAGGAAACAGAGCTGTTTTTTGTGTGTGTGAATCGAAAGAGTGTGGGCAGCATCAGGGGGGCTACCCCAAGACATTTTGCTGCCTGAGGTCGGAGACCCAAGGTTCCCCTCCTTGACCCACATTTCGGACACAAAACCGGAACGTATTGCCAGTTGCAGCTGATGCCGCCCCATATTTAAGATGGGTCAGCTTTTAGCAGGTAAAAAACCTGGGTCTTCCAGGACAGCTCCCTCCGCGCTCGCAAAACGGGTGCTTTCGGGACCTAAGCTTCGCAAGACAGCGATTTAAACAGCTGATTGGCGGTTCGCAAAGCGGCTTTCCTATGGCCGATCTTCGCTAGGCAACGACGATTCTTCCCCAGTGGAACGCATGAAACAGGTTTCAATGCATTCCAATGGGGAAATGCTTTTCGCTAGACGATGATTTCGCTAAACAGCGATTTCAGTGGAACGGATTATCATCGTCTAGCGAGGCACCACTGTAAAGGGATTAATCTCGTTCTTCTTTAGGATAAATAAAGCACACATTCTCTCTTCCTCCTTTCAGACTTCAAGCATCGCATCACAGTCCAGGCGTCCCCTGGGCTGGACAAACGGAAGGACTTCTTCGAGGTGGGGGCTGGGGGTTCCCCCACCTTCCCCCGTTTCCGAGCCATCCAGTGTGAGTTGTCTTTGGGGCCGTGTGGGGTTATCAGGAAGGGACCCTTAACCTCACAGTGAAACCTCCACTCAGCAAACAAACTGACTCAAAAAAGATCTGTTGAAACGGAGTGTTCCCCAGTACAGTTGCCATGTAACTTAGATATGCGGTAGTTACGGCAAAAATAAAGTAATGGCAAGTAACTTATTATTTGTAACTAGTTACTTCCAAGTTTGTGTTAATCCTGAAAAGTCGGAAATCCGATACGTACGTGTTTCTCTCACTCGTGGAAAACAGCATTATTCTGGTACGGACTAGTGTAGGCATGGAGAATACATAGCTTTTTGGCAAGCTTCAAATGTTCGTAAACGTTGAGCGAATATTTCCCCCTCTCCTGCAGTGGAGGCGAGCGAAAATGATAAGAACTGGGGCCGCCAGTCGCCGCGAAGAGGAGACGAAAGTGGGAACGGCCGCACGAAGGCCACGGGGTCCCCAAAACCTTGGGAGATCAATATGCAGAACGGAAGGTAGGGGGCAGCCTTTTCCTGATTCTGTTTTAATCAACTTCCCAAAAGCCGAGGCGGGCGGCAGGAAAATTACGCCAGAGGGAAAGGAGCCCACGTGGAGAAAGCGTGGTTCCTGGGGTCCCAGCGTTCTGGGTCTCCTTCGGTCTCGCCATTTTTAGCCGGATGGGACGGGTCGTGGCTTTGTGGGAGAGATGCTCCGCCACGGATCAAGGGGCCTAAACTTCTTTTTCTGTCTCGCTGGCCCGCAGGCGGAGGTCGCGGCTGGAAGAAACCACATGGTACATGGAGCCAGAGGGACTGCCCGCCTCCGCACAGACCGACCCTCAACCCAGCCCGAACGGTGAGTCCAGCCGCTGGCGGGCGGCTTAGAGCGAGGGACGTTTCTGTGTGCCAGTTTGAACCAACTCTTCCTCCAGAACCCATAAGGACTAGGGCCTTGCTTTAAAGAGGCATCGTTCTGAGCTCTACTTAACAGAGGTGTTTCTTAGTGAGCACCGCACTTCAATGTTGTTCATTGTGGCTTGTTTTCCCCCCCTCCTTCTTCTTCCTTTGATCCGAAAGGCAATATTCCCCTCGACACTCCGGACCCCGAGGAGCCAGCTCCGGAACGCCCCAGCGCCCCTCGCCTCATCCGGCGGGCCCTGTTGCACGGTAGCGCGCTGCTCGCCTCCTTCGGCCTGGGCCGGGAATTGCCGACCGCCCCTCAGGACCCCCCAAAGGCCGCCCCTGCCCTGCATGTGGAGTTGTGCAAAGAGGAACCCCCAACGGATCTTCTGGTCGACGTCGCCTCGGAGGGCGACCGGGGGGCCCTTCCTCCTCTCTGGGCCCAGATGTCCCCCAAGATCCCGAGACTCGCGGAAGGCCGGGGCAGCAAAGCCCAGAAATGGGGTGAGTTGCAGCCATGTGATTAAGGAAGGCCGACGATTAGCGGGTTTCAATCAGTGAAAAAGACACGTGCAGAGCCCTGCGCCTCGGAAAAAAGCAAACCCAGCAGTTATGAGGTGGGGGGGTGCTTGGTTCAGTGATATGACGGGCAAGAAGGATCTTGGAATCATCGTAGATCCTAAGCTGAGCATGAGCCAACTGTGTGATGCAGCAGCAAAAAAGGCCAATGCTATTTGAGGCTGCATTAACAGAAATATCGTCTCCGAATCCTATGAGGTACTGGTTTCCCTCTATTTGGCACGGGTTAGCCCTCTTCTTGAGTCTTGTGTCCAGTTCTGGACACCACGCTTTAAGAAGGATGCCGACAAATTGGAGCAAGTTCGGAGAAGGGCGACAAGGTGAATCAGGGGACTGGAATCCAAGCCCTAGGAGGAAAAATGGAAAGAAATGGGCAGGTTTAGCCTGGAGAAAAGAAGACGGATGCGAGATAGGAGAGCCTGTTTGAAATACTTGGAAGGCTGTCCTACGGAGGAGGGGCAGGATCTGTTCTCCATCCTCCCAGAGCGCAGGACACGTCATGATGGGCTCAAGCTACAGAGAGCCAGAATTAGGCTGAAATGTCAGGGGAAACTTCTTAACTGTTAGAACAGTATGACAATGGAACCAATAATTGGGGAGGTGGTGAGTGCTCCATGTCTGCTTTGATATGGATTCCTGCCTTGAGCAGGGGGTCAGACTGGATGGCCTCCCAGACCCCTTCCACCTCCATGATTATTTGGTTCTATGCCGAGAAAACAGTGTTTGGTCCCCAAATACGTGGTTCTGCCTATTCAAAACCACCTTTTCTTTTTCTCTTCCAGATGGTGCTCTCCCCTCGCCTTCCTCGCCACGTAGCCCCCGTTCCCCCCGCCCTCACTCCCCTCACGCCGGCCTCATCTCCCGGCCCCGGCCCTCCCCTGTCCGCAGCCGGATCGACCCCTGGCGTTTCGTCTCATCCGGCCC